ATGTCTTTTCCCTGGCAAGCCAGTCAAATGGAGAAATGAGAAATCTGCAGAGTGGGGGAGAAAAAAGGTTTTTCAAAAGTCGCAAAACGTAACATCATACCTGAACCTGGATGCAACATCTCTTTTCATTATATGTATTCGTACTGGGTTTACAGGAGGAAGTCTCTATTCCACCACAGTGAGGTCTTTACTGATGTCATGGGATGGACTTGGTTACGGAAAATTATTAGCCATGAGGAGCATAGTTTATGCATCAAAATGAACTTCTTGACCCAAACTGTGGCATAATTAAGAATGGTGTTGGAAGAGTAGGAGAGCTGGCAATCTGTGCTATGTGGGAAGAAAACATCGAGGGAATGTGCCTTCTTCATCATCATCTTTGTCTTCTTCTGGAACTAGGATGACTTCAGTTATATAGGTTCTAGATGTTCCAGTGCATAAACAAGGATCATAAGAATCATCTGCCATCCAGTCAATTCTGACTTATGGTGACCTGGACAGCTCAGTGGTTGAGAGTATCTGGCTGCAGAGCCGGAGGCTGGGAGTCTGATTCCCCCACTGGGCCTCCTGGGAGAAGAGCCAGCCTGCGTAGTCTTGGGCCAGCTGCACAGACCAAGGGCAGCCCCCAGAAGAAGGAAAAAGGAAGCCACCTCTGAGTGCCCTCTACCTAAGAAACCTTGAAAGGCGTTGCCATAAGTCAGAATTCACTTGGCAGCACATGGTGATTATTATTCAACAAGTATCATATTTACATTGGATCGTGAGTATAGAATCAATCTGTGGAATTCTCCCATCAGTTAAAAAAAGAAAAAAGAAAAAACCCTATGAGAATATTCTTCTTAATAGGATCCATCTCCTCAGTCTCTCAAAATGGATCTCAGCTAATATTTTTTCTAGAAGGAGAGGAGAAGGAGGAGGCAACAATCTCCTTTTCAGTGGTCAGTCATTTCATCACAGAGATAGAAACATTTTGTATGATCAACACTCCTTCCTTCCTTCCCCCTTTTTCTCTTTTCCTTCCTTCCTTCCTTCCTTCCCCCTTTTTCTCTTTTCCTTCCTTCCTTCCTTCCTTCCCCCTTTTTCTCTTTTCCTTCCTTCCTTCCTTCCTTCCCCCTTTTTCTCTTTTCCTTCCTTCCTTCCTTCCTTCCCCCTTTTTCTCTTTTCCTTCCTTCCTTCCTTCCTTCCCCCTTTTTCTCTTTTCCTTCCTTCCTTCCTTCCTTCCCCCTTTTTCTCTTTTCCTTCCTTCCTTCCTTCCTTCCCCCTTTTTCTCTTTTCCTTCCTTCCTTCCTTCCTTCCCCCTTTTTCTCTTTTCCTTCCTTCCTTCTTTCTTTCCTGTTGCTTACAAAATTAGTATAAATCAGAGGGGGAAAATGGGATTTGAGTTGTGGGACTCCGTGTCAAGTTCGACTTCAGTCACACTGATTCCTTGTGTCTGACTTGACCCGAGTTTTTTTCCCCAATGACTCGCATGCAACTCACGACTTGGAACCCTAACCCTAACCCTTCCTTTTTTCTGGGGAAAAGAGTTTGTTTTTAATAGGGACTCAGGACTTGGTACCAAAGACTCGGACCTGGGACTTGGGACTCGGACCCAAGGGCTTGCCAGCATCCCTGACGGAAAGGCCTCCGTTTGTTCCAGATGGAACAAATGCTGCGTCTAGAGGAGCCCATATTAAGAGAATTGAGAAACATAAGGCTTCTCAGCACATGCTGTGCAACCCAGAAATTTTGTCCACATTCAGTCTCAGCCAACTTGGGTTCAGGATCTAGAAGAGCAGGAAGGCTTTTTTTTTTAATTGTTGTGTTTTCTAGACAACTGGGAGTCTGAATTCCTTACCCATCTCTTGCAAATCACTCAGAGATCTTTTCTGCCCACCCCTGCTTCGAGGGATACATTTCCAGCATTCCATGGTTGCATTTCCAGTGTCTCTCGTTGTGCCAAAATGCCCCCAAACTACCAGCATGCTTTTTATTACTGCCTGTAATATCAGATTCACATCCATCTTTCCATATGGAAAACATTTTATGTGTTTGATGTAGCGATAGAGATCTTCTTATTTGGAGGGAGGGGGGGAAACAGCATGCTTGTGTTGTGATGTCATGGGGTGCCGAATATAAAATAATGTCTCTGTTAGTTTAAAGCAACCTTGCGGAAATAAAAGAAGCAAGACCCAGTAGCATTTTGTTGTTGGTTTGTTGTTGGTCCATTTTCTTGGCTCTGTGGCATGAATTTTGAAAAGAAGGAAGAAGAGAAGAGAGGGAGGGAGGGAGAGATGGAGAGAGAGAGAGAGAAAGAAAGAAAGAAAGAAAGAAAGAAAGAAAGAAAGAAAAAGGGAGGGAGAACAAGGGAGAGAGAGAGAAAGAAAGAAAGAAAGAAAGAAAGAAAGAAAGAAAGAAAAAGGGAGGGGAACAAGGGAGAGAGAGAAAGAAAGAAAGAAAGAAAGAAAGAAAGAAAGAAAGAAAGAAAGAAAGAAAGAAAGAAAGAAAGAATATTTTTTTCAGATGGTTCCTATGAAATTTTAGCACAGAAGTACTAAGTCTGTAAATAAAAATTTTATTCCTTGGATTTGTTTGCTTCTGCTGAGGAGCCAGAACTCCCAATTTTATATTTCAAAAGGAATTAGTTTCATTACTCATTATTGTATAGGCAGCCTCCCATTTTCATTATAGTTGCTTTGAACATACAGATAATTCTTGCATTCATGTTATTCATCCCTTGCATTATTACCAACAGGCTAGAAAAAAAGCACATGATAATTATTATTAGAAAAAAAAAATCCTTGGGGGAAAATTCAAGGAAATAGCATCTGGTAGCCAATTTTAATGCAGCATTTTGAGAATGTTTATTAAAAATACAATGGCAAAAGCAAAAAATAAGAATGGCAATAAACCTGGGAAAATGCCCTTTAAAAGGAATAGTTGAAATTAACTCGGTGGTACTCATTACACCTAAGTAACCAGGTAATTGAGATGGTACCTTAAAAGTGACATGTATTACATCTAAAAAGTAACTATGTAACTATTAGTTATATTATTGTTTGCCCCAGTAACTAGTTACAGGCAACTGTTATCTGTAATTATTTACTTTGAAGCACTGGAAGAGACAGAGACAAGAAGGATTTTGTAACTCTGAAGAGCATTGAGTTCAAGGCCCTGGCCTCTCCTTGAATGACTGATATACAGTGGTGCCTCACTTAACGAGCGCACCGTACAACGACGAAATCGCATAGCGATCCCTTTTTTGGGATCGCTAATGCGATCGCTCAACGACTTTTAGTTTTGCTTACTGATCTTCGCAAAACGAAGCCCTGACAATCAGCTGTTCGGTGGACGAAATGGCCGCCGGAAGCCCCAAAATGGCCACGTGCAGCGTTTTCGCGCCCTCCCCTCGCTTACCGAGGGCGCGAAAATGGCTGCCGGCCATAGGAAACTTCGCTGAACGGTGAGTAAAGGAGCCTTTTGGAATGCATTAAACGATGTTTAATGCGTTCCAATGGCTTTCCCTGTCCCGTTCAGCGATGTTTCGCTATAGCGAAGGTTAATCCTGAACGGATTAACCTCGCTATGCGAGGCACCACCGTACTAAGTTGGAGGCCTAGCCTAACTATATGCTGTGGTGTATGCAGGCATGGGCATATATATTTATTTATTGCATTTATACCTCATTTCCCTTCCAATTTGTCAAGTCTGCATACATGGCTCTCCTCTTCTCCACCTTATCCTCACCACAGTCCTATCGAATAAGTCAGGCTGAAAAAGTATGAATGCCCCAAAGTCGCCCAGTAAACCTGTTGACCAGGTGGGGTTTTGAACCCAGGCCCCCGGACTCCTAGTCCACCCCCACTAACCACTGTATCAGAGTACTTGTACACACTAGTGTAGTGATATATCCAGTGCCATATCACTGTTGTGGAGCCAGTTGGTTAGGAGAAATTTTATCTCATGCCTGTTGATTAGGAGAGTTTTATGTCATTTCGCCTCCGTCCGGGCTGCCTTGTTTCCTATAAAGTCAGCTACGGGCCTTGAGGAGGGTCATTTTTCCTAGCAACAATATATTATGAGAGAGCTCCTTCGTGCTTCAAAATATTTTAGGATGGCTCAGTCTTGAATTAGTGCTACAAAAGACACACAGCGGTTGAAAATCAAAAGTGCTCCAACTGGTTTCTTGATTCCGGTGTTCTGGGACGCTCTTTAACATGTGCTGTTGGGGAGGGATTATCATGATGGATGGATTGCCCTTCTAAATTTGCCACTGCACTGTCATTCATGCAGCAGAACAGGGCTGGCGCCATGCTGTGGGGTTCTGAGAGCAGTAATCCAGAAAAGGAACTTTTCCAAAATGCTGATGAGGCATGTCTCTCATATCCGGTCACATTCCCCACTCCACTCCCATGGTGAGCCATGTGGTGTTTGCGTATTAATCATAATGCACACTTCAAAAAGCATTGTCTACATTTGTAAATTTGCACATACTCTTGTTATATGATTCTGCATCTTGTCTGGCAGTCCTAAGGATGGGTGTGTGCGAGAAGGGGATACACTGTGGGTTCTTTCTGGACTATATAAGATGCCATTAAGTGGACGTACATCACCTCTCAGACACGTGTATCATCAGTTTCTGGACTTTTCTGTACAATATTTCTGCGCTATCCATGGGGGAGTTGCGCTAAGCCCAAAGAAGTGGAATTTTAGCCATGAAAGCTTGCAGTTTGTTTGGCTTTTAGTGGTCCAGTAAAAGTTGTCTACCACTCTTACATTTGTGCAATCTTGGGGAGCATACAGCCTTCTCTTTGCCCTTTCTGGACATTTAGGAAGGAAAAAAGATTTAGTTTTCTATCCAGTCCCTTCATCAAAAGGAGCTGTGGTCTCTTTCAGCTTTGGATGTTTAAGCCAATGAGTACAAAGCCTTTGGGATAACAAACAAGGATTCAATCTGTAGCTTGTTTTCTTGTTTGCTGGCTTGTTGGTTGATGGATTTGTTTATCTTCCTCACGTTTCAGGGCACAGGCAGAAACTTGAAGAGCAAGCCAAATCCTTTCCCGATCAACTGGAACGCCTCCGACACTCAATGAGAGTCAACCCTACAACCCCCAACCCCCGAGGATCCATCAGCACTCCCGGACACTTTGGGGCACAGACACAAAGCCAGATTCAAGGTAATCAAGTTGGATCCCTTCACAGAAGCCGGCAGTCTGTCCTGTGGCTATAACAGGAGCCCAGTGAGAGCTGGTTTCTAGTCAGATCTTGGAACCCTACCTTCCAAAACCTTGCTTCTCGCTTGTAAAAGCCTTGCCTCTTTATTACAAATTACTAGTAGTGTACTCCTTATTTAAAGAAAATGACTTTTTGATTCCTTTTAAACTGATTTTTGACAAGCAATACACTTGCAAATGCAGAAATGACCAAAAAAGAAAAATCCCTCAAATGAGACAGCAAAAGCAGTATTTTAGGGCTAATTGGTAAATTGTACTCATTGTGCAAGAAATAAAATAGAATAAAAAGCAAGAATGCAATAAGTCAGTGACATTGCTACTCAGAAACGAAGACATTCAAATTTAGTCCTATAGCACCTAGGCTCCAATAGCCAGCAGGGAATTCTGGATAAATACAGGACAAAAGGAGATGTTTTCTATCTCTACCCAAACTGTCACACATTACAATTAACATTACTTCCAAATTCCGGTTCAACAGCAACATATACAGGCTGGCTGGATTGAACCACCTGGGTGTGTTTGCTCCACCAGGTATTTGGCATTTAATAATAAACACAGCTGGATCCATTGATTGAAATCCAGTTACTTACACTCATGAGTGTAACAATGGCATAAATTCTGGAGGCAAACTGTAGAAGTTACAAAGTCAGTGTGGGCACTATCTGTAGTGTACTATGAATCAATTTGCAATGAATAATGTCTACCCTGACTTTGTAATGTGTAGCAATTTGCTGCCTAAAGTCACATCATAAATATTAATCAGCAATAGGATTCTGGCCATATTTATGATGGATCAGACCAAAGGCCACTGGTCTGGCACACTGTTTCCTGCAGTTTCTAAGCAGATGCCTTTGGAAAGCTCATGAGCAGTACAGGAGACCTGAACACACCGACATCCTCCCAGTTGTGTGTCCTCCCAAATGATGTCGACAGGAACAGTTGTCTTTAACACCAAAAGCAATATGCACCCTGGTTCACAGCCATTAATAACCCAGGCGATTTCCAATTACCTGCTACGAGCAACCACCTATTTATTCATTTATCTGTTTGAATATTCCTGTGCCAGTCTCATTAGCATAAGTACTCTGCAGAGCAAATTAGGATTATATAGCCATAAACACTAACACACCACAACATTTAATGCAACATAAAACCAGCAGCAAAATATACGTTTAGTATAAATCGGCTCACTGCAGCACCAACATATAACAGTGTTCCAAGAACACAGAAAAGGGTGTGTGTGTGTTTGTGTGTGTGTGTGTGTGTGTGTGTGTGAGTGTGAGTGTGAGTGCACACAACTTCAAAAGAACAGAAAGTACAAAAATACCAAAAGGCATGAAATTAAATTAATTTGGAAGCAAGAGCAGGTCATCCACCTCCCCATACTAGGTTCCACAACGGCAGTTATTCCAAAATCTTTGGTTTCCAATTTAAAACACTTGCCAATAGTTGCTGATTGGTTTCCTGAAATCCAAAAATCAGTGATGTTGCAAACATGCCATATCACCTTTACATTTTTAGGACTTGATTTCTTATTCTCACCCCTTTGGTTCACCCCCCAAATGCTAGCAATGTTGATAAATAAGAAGTATAATAATAAAAACAGTATTAGTAGTAAGTATTCAAGTATTTGTTAGAATTCATATATATACTGAACTTCTTAAGCATGAAATAACTTACGAGCAAGGCAGCCTCTTGAGAGTGAAAGCTAAAGATGTTATGGGAACAATGAGTCCACTCTGTGTTTTAGTCTGAACTTTAAAGCAGCTCTCCAGGGTGCTGAACCTCTTTGAGGGGATAAGGTTCATCAACTTGGAAGGGTCTGGTAAAATTCAGACTAAAGCTCAGTAGATCCATTGCCATTGGGACTTTAGAGGCACCAGCCTGTAAGGGGTTCTTGCAGGTGGGCTTCTCAACATAAGCTAGGCACCTGGAGGTAATGAAGATGTGCAGGTGAGACTCTCTACTCCACAAGGAGGTTTCCAAAGTCCTCCATCCTTCTGTCTACTACACCTCACCGGCACTCTGTTGTTGTCGTTTTCTACATCTACTTAGATTTTCTCTAGGCCTGTTGATCTTTTTTATGGTTAGTGCTACGTAAGATTTCTCAGTCAAAAGACTGAATTCCCTACCATGTCTCTCTCCTTCTCTCTCTCTCCCTCTTTAAATAAATAAAAAATAGAGGTCGTTTTAACACAATTGAGTAAATGTTTCAGCTTCTTCCATCTTCAGTCATGTAGACAGGTGCATTTCGAATGGGTGTGGAAAAGCCACTACAGATGTTTCAGCTTCTTCCATCTTCAGTCATGCAAACAGGTGCATTTCGAATGGGCGTAGAAAAGCCACTGCAGCACTGTAGTGTGTGTGCGTGTGTACTTAATTAGTAAATAAATCTAGGATTCTGTTAGTTGTGTGTGTGTGTGTGTGTGTACTAAATTAGTAAATAAATCTAGGATTCTGTTGGGTCAAGGCCCCCATGTTCCTCTGTGGACCCCCATGCCAGTACCATCCTCTCCCCAAAATCTCTAAGGTAAATGCCAAATATTTGGTCCAGGGTCTGCTTCAGGATGAGTGAAAACATGGTGCTATCCAAGCAGAAGGGCACAGCAACGCTGTCTCCTCCTCCTTGTACCTGCAGGACCTGATGTGACTGGTCCCTGAACCCTAGTCCAGCCCTGACAGGAGGAAAATACCCTCCTCCAGCAGGCTAGTTCGGAGGGCCACATGAGATAAATACAGTTTTGCCTTTTGTGAAAGTGGGAACAGACATTTCAGGAAGAAAACAACCCGGACACCATTTGCTGCAAGGCAGTTGGCCCACTCTGCCCAATGACAGCGCTGGCCCCGATGCAGAGCATGCCTGTCAGCAGCACTGACTTCTTTCTCCCTCCCATGCATTTTTCTTCGAGTCTGGAGGGCAGGTGAGGTGGTCACGTCCTGTTTTAAAGAGGAAGGTGCTCTGCCTGAAAAACAGCCAGGGCATACTCCTTCTCTTAAAGGGGTCCTCCCACTGAAAGGTTTATATTTGTTCTAACCATAAGGTGCTCTGCCTGAAAAACAGCCAGGGCACACTCCTTCTCTTGAAGGGGTCCTCCCACTGAAAGGTTTATGTTTGTTCTAACCATAAAGAACCAGAGAGAGAGAGAGAGAGAAGAGGGCACAAAGGCTTTGAAAGCCACATTGAATGCCTGGACACAGGACTCAGCAGGCACATAAACTGGCTGATGCGCATCTTCTCTCCTTGAGTGAGATGCACTGTAACTCTCTTTCAACTATAAGCAACCCTTCACATTTTACCTCCGTCCTTGTAAATCCGCATGCGCAGTTTATGCAAATCTGAATCTTCCTTTGGGTTCTTTGTTGGTGATGTCTGTGTGATCCCCCCAGGGCCGTCCGCAACAAATTTTAGCTCTTTCTGAACCTTTGCTTCTTGTGATTCGGGCAGTCAGGTCTGGACCTCGATTCCCAGCCAAGGCTGCTATGAAAACAGAAGCCACCTTCGTTTGGATTGGGTTGTTTAAACCAGAGAGAGGCTGCCGAGAAGCTTGAAAATATAATTGTGTCTTGTTCAGCTCTAAAGCACAGGCAGAGCAGGGGGCTGTACGAAAGACACCAACAGGAGCAGGAAAACGTGGGCAACTTGTAAAATGGGAGACTCCTCTCTCTCTCTCTCTCTCTCTCTCTCTCTCTCTCTTATGTTACGGACCCCTCGAAAGCAGAGGGAAAGAGTGCTTAGCCCCAAGAGGCAGCAGTACTAGGCGAGGTGGGATGATGACCTCTGGTTGAACACACATTCCTAGTTTCCTAGTCCCCTGATCCAAAGTGCTGCCATTTCCGTTGATAGATCGGGTCAGATGTTTGGGGAGTGCAGGCGCTTGGTTCGCTTTCACAATGGTTAAATTCTTCCCTCTAAATGGGCTTATTCAGTCAAGGCAGCAGCTGGTGCGATTTCGAGAAGAAAATAAACATTTCCTTCAAATATTTTGATTGGCAGCACGACAAGCAAAATACTCGCCCTTGGAATTGCCAGGGCCCTCAAGAAAGAAATACAGGAGCAGACAAAATCTAGAAATCCAAATTGGGCCGTAGTAAATTTTTCAAAGGTGAAGCCATAAAAAGCTGTGGTTTCGTCTTTAAAAAAAATACACCCCAACAACGATTATTTGGCTGATGGGTTTTGCTCGTGGTTTAGACGTGTGTGGGGAGAACGGGGGGAAAAGACGCTGTCAGCTCCAGCACCAGATGGAGTTAAAAGGTGACAGAAGGTTAGAGCAGAAAGCCTTCTAATTCTGTTAGATGCTAGAGGCAATCTGTGCCAAAGACCACGCTGAGGTGGCAATTGTACGCAAAAATCTCGAGATATCTCTGAAATGCAGTAGGTTGTTATCATTTTAGTCCATTGATATCTCTGAAAGCTAGTGTGCTGCAGTGGAAAGAGTGATGAACTAAGCTAGATTTGCCGTAAGTGGGATTCAACCAGACAGCATATAGCAAGACCTGGAACACATCAAGTTGGCCAACCGAAGGAGTTGTTTTCAAGAATCCAGAGACAGGAAATGTTAAGGATCTTTTGGACATGGGTGAAGGATTCTGGGGCTGACAATCCAAAAGCAAGCATTCCCCATCTTTGGTGTTGGGCCCCCTCCTCCCAATCCCCTGACATGCTGGTGGTGGGGGAGATGTTCTTGGAATGTCAGGAGTGCCCAAGAGGGAGGAGGGCGCTCCTGGCACATTCCTGTGACATCCTCAGCATTGCTTTTAATGCATGATGAGGATTTATCTGAAACCTGTACAGATGAAGCTAACAGGAAAAAGTGAGGGGACAGTCCACGGAATCACGGTTTCGGCTTTTCACTGGATGGCGCCAACTCAGGCTGAGGGCTGGGTTGCGCGTTTGTATGGCAGATTCATACTAAACTAGCTAATTAATCTTGGATATAGAA